TAATAAGTGGCTGCTGTGGTGTTATCTTGACAGATATTGATATATTTATTGTTTTGGGTTAAAAAAAAACCATAGAATAGCTAAAGAGAAGCAGAGAGAGGACGATCGGGCATGTCATATTTACTTCCACCTATTTACGGAATATATCTTTTGTTATGCGAACTTCGTACACCATAGAATTCATATTTGACAATTCTCATTGATAATTTCCCGCACAGTTGGCCCAATGTTGTCATAAAAGTTAACAGCTTCACGTTATTTTTAATCTAAAGTGCAAAAACTACAAGAACAACACGACCGGAAACAATAACAGCTGTAATCACGCTTACAGCATGCCGCCATATTGTTTTTCATCGCCCTCCCCCTCCCCCCTTATCCCCTTAAACAGTAAGCCATAAAACGTATCTTATACAAGCAGCGGACGACACCCCGTCACGACTCACCAAAATTGGAAGATGTGCAGGCAAAAAAAAAGTGTGTGCGGATAAATGAAAAGGAAAAGCTAAAACGTATTTTGTAACTGTAAGTGTTTTTTTTGCACTCATAATGAGGAGAGGCGCCATCTGACGGTCAGCGGTCGCACAAAGCTCTTATTAGCGCAAAAATATGGCAATCAAATTCGATTTCAAGCGGTTTACAGCACTTAACTCAATTTAAGCAAACAATTCGGATATTGTCATTGTCCATTTGATTTTTTTGTCATTCTTGTGCTCTTGTCATAAATCAAATACACTTAAATCATCCCTCATTCTACTTGCGCATATATGTATGTATATGTATATGCATGACTGTCTGTATCTCTGCTTCTATGCAATTTTTTGTCATTTTTTTTCGCTCGCTCTGGTCGGGGCTGTCAAAATGACATAGCTGTAAATTGACATTGCAGTCGACCGTTGTGGTTGTTGTTTCTGGCATTTAAACTAATCGTGGGGGAGGGGGCACTTTGGACTGTCATGCGTCACTTTGGCATGTCTCTACTTAGCCACAAAGTTCCTGCTACCCGCCTGCCTCTGGTCATAAGATTGTCAAAACTTAGTTTGATATTTTATTTTTGTGTGGCTTGAGTTTCAAATTTCGCGCGTTACCTAGAATGTTTGTCTTTGCTCTTTGCTTATCCATTGTGGCGCCATCTGTTGTTTGCGAGCTACACTACAACCCGCTAGAGCAGTTTGACTGCTATCTTCCTTTACCCTGTTGTCGTCGCGTTCTCGTTGTCTCTTGCTTCTTGTTGCTATTCTTTGGGCTTATCTTATCGAGAGCCAAATGAAAACAAGTCATAAGCACATTGTTAGTGCAGAAAGGTTTTGGTTAGTGTAGAGATGCTTTGATAATTGTATACTTATTGATCGCGATGCACTGCACACTTGCTTACATATATGTACACATAAATATAAACATGGGCTACTCTTAATTTTTATTTAAGAATGGAATACTAAACCTGGAACAACAGCGGCTGCTCGCTCTTATGCTCTTCTCTGTCTTTCTTCGCATTGTTCCCGTTACGTTTTATTTGCACTCTTTGCAATTGCTGATTTGCTGTGACTGCAGCTGTTGCTGCACTAGTCTCTGCTCTTTGCTTCTTGTCTTCGTCTTCGTCCCCCGCAGAATCACTCGCTGCGCTTGCATATTACAAAACTTTTTACTTCGTCCACTTTTGCATTTTCATTTATTTCGCTGCTGGCGTCAACGCTGCTGCCTTTCATTTACTTGCCGCGCTGCTCGAGTGGCAGGGAGGGGGCGCGGAGGCTGAACTTTTGTTGTTATGCATATCGCTTCACTTTTAGTTCTGAGCGGCGCTGCCGAAGAATTTTATTTCGTTTCCTTAACGAAACTTAACTTTGCTTTCTGCATTGCCTTTATGCATTTTGCCTTTGAACTTTCTGTGCAACTTTTTTTGCCGGACACGAATATAAAGAAATAAGTAAACCGCCAATAAGTAGATATAAACGAACGTACACACACATACACAATCGAAATCGGACTGCAGTCAAAACTTTTTGCAATTATTGTGTTTTAATTCCGAATTTTTTATGCTTGCAGTTAAAGGAAAACTTTATGAATAGCTTCAACTTTGATACTAAAGAGGATCTGCAGAAAATCGACCAGTTACTTGGCTTTGCTTGAATGAACGCGTAACGCAAAGAAGGGCGAAAAGTAAGAGCAGACGTGAGCGAGTAAGAGAACTGCGAGAGGTGGTCAAAGAGAGAGTCGTGTTTACGCAACGGCCTAGCTTAAAATGAATGGGACTGAAGACACGACCTATCATTATACACGTAAAAAAACAGTTATATTGCGTTTGCCTGCGTATTGTATTGGCAAAATACGGTGTACATTTTAAAAATATAACCAGATACGATCGCATAAACATACATACAATTTTTGTATGCAGAAAATCTTACTGTATTTGACCGATAATTTTTTTTAAAATTCAGACTTAAATTTAATTAGCTCACACACATCAGATAATAAATTGCTTGATCTGGCTAACCTTCCCAACTACTGACCCCTACTTTTATATGTATAAAAAAAAAACCCACTCACACACACACATATCTCGCACACATCCAGTTTAATCAAGCGGCTTTTGTTGCAGCGCCAACGCGACGTCCAGTCGAGTTCCGCCCCGCACCACCGCGCCCCCATCGCATCTGGCACGAGCCTGCAATGGTTAACAGCATTGTTACACTTTTAAACGGTATTTTTACGTTTTGAATATGCGGCAAAAGGTAGTTGAACCAGCCGAAGCCGCTGTCGACTCTGCGTCTGGTCCAGTTCTGGTTCTGGTTTTTGCTTCTGGTCAGATCCGCTGCGGTTCATTAGCGCAGCAAATGCGATTTGGACTTTTATGCAGCGGCCTATCCGCAAGGCGCAGCGTAGGCGGAGGGGGAGTGGTCGCGAATGTCGCGTCGCTTTGTCGGTTGCCTCTAAAACTAGAACACATGAGCACGTAATTTAGTAGCCGCTTTAGCGCTTTTGTGTGAAAATCACACAATGGGGAGAGAGAGAGGCAGAGCGGAGCCCCCTCTCTCACTCAAACTCAAACACACACACACTCACACTCACACACACACGCTCACCCCTTGCCATTAACCTATGTGGTGGCTTGTTGTTTATGGTCATGTGCCTCATTGGGATCGCAGGCACTTTGTGTGGGTCCGGTTTTTGCCGTTAATTCCTTTTTATTAATAGCCACCAACACAAAGGCGAGTGAAAAGAGCAAAAACAGACAAATACTCGTGGAAAGAAAAACACGAATTGTGTTAGTTAAACGGGAACCTAAACGAACCTACGGCCATGACGCAAAACTAATCAGATTTTATTTGATTTTTTTTTTTTTTGAGCTAAGAATAATGTAATTGGCTAACAAAATGAAGGGCAATTTGTGGTGCGACTGGAAAAGACATAAAATAAAGTTAAGATCAGCTGCGGAAGGCGACAACAAATAAAAAGTAAATAAACAAATAATGCAATAAAAATAATGCTCAATTTTAGACATCGCAAGTGCGTATTTTTTTATCATTCTGTCCTACGATAGATCTCAAGCGTTTCTTATCAATTCCCGCGCTAACAGATAATTGAGGGAAATTCGCAATATATCACATTTGATTAAAAAATAATTGGGAAACAAAAACAAAAGTGTGCCCGAGGCACTCAACATTATCAGGCATAAATACATCAAGAGATAATGCGCATTCATTTGCGCACCTATTTTGCTAAGCCTTTTGAATTTATTAATGCTGCCTATAAAAACTTAGAAAATACAATACACAGTACATATGTTAGTTATAGATTAGAAGTGAGTTGGGAGTAGGATGGAGATGGAGGGAGTGGGATCGGGTCACAGGCCTCTACTCGGCATCGCTGGCCACGGACATGTCGGGCACCAGATCGGCATTGTCGGCGACTGTTAGGGAGAGGGGTTCAGAGGGGGCACTTGAAAGAGAACCAAATGGTTAAGAACTCACCCTGATCCAGAGCATCGGCGGCAACAGACATGTCGGGCACCAGATCGGCATCAGCCTGGAATGCCTCCACCTTGACGGCTGATATGATGCACAGTTAGAATGGAGGATTCAACTTGGCGACGGGTCGTGCACGGAACTTACTCTCGTTATCCTCGGCATCGGCGGCAACAGACATGTCGGGCACCTGGTCAATGTCGGCACTAGCTAGCTGGACACCATGCACCTGGGGGCTCATGAAGCGGAAGGGCGGCACCTGACGCTTGCGGGGCGTATCATCGGCATCGCTGGCCACAGACATGTCCGGCACACGGGCCAGCATCATGCCATCCTCGGCCGTGGACATGTCCGGCACCAGATCGGCATCGGCCGGCTGTGGCCTGGTCATCGCAGCGCCATAGACGAGGGGCAGCAGCAGGGCAAGAATGGCCAGGTATTTCATAGTGGAATCTCTTCAGTTAACTAATCGTGCGAGCCAATTGTGGATGTGTTCTTATAGACAACATGCGCGGTTGTTATCAAATATATATACAATATTTAATTTACAAGCTGCCTACTGCGACTCTTTAGATAAGATTCTCGTCTGGAATATTTCTGGCCTGCTATAAAAACATCTATGTATATAAATATTGTCAAAAGTTGTTTATTAGTTCCAAGTAAAGAAATCAAATCAAAGGAAATCTTTAAGTGGCTCGCGTGCCTAAGGAGGACTCTATTATCCCTCTATTATCTTCCGACTAAACTATTTAGAGATCTTTGGTTCGGGGCTTGCGTCTACCTGAGCGACCTTTTCTTTTTCAACCCCTGGAACCCGAGCAACAACAAATTGATTTAGCGGCTTTTCGCTTAACAAGTATATACTTTATTTTCAATATTTGGAAAAAAAATATGTTTATTTGTCTTCAATGACTGAAGTTTTGTAATATTCGAATCTCTCAAATAAATTGCTTAGACAATATGTAAAAATGGAAAGTATAAATGAAATCAAGAGATTGTAAATAATCAATATAATGTTAAATGTTACAAAAATTACTCCACATTTGTTTGTGGCTAATAAACTAAAATATGAAATTCAATGGATTTTTTTCAATTGTTTTTTTTTTTTTTGGCACCTACATGCCCAATATATCGGCGTCCTGGTCATCCATAATGTCCTGCGGCTCGCGCTTCAGGCGACCCATGTCGAAGTCGTCGGCCGCTATGATGCCCGCCATTTCGGGGTCCTCGCGCCCAGCCTGCTGCCTGGCCGCGGGGCGTGGCAGCGGCTGGGATTGGGCACGAGAATCGGCCAATAGATTCGCCACATTTGCACTCGGAGACGTTGACTTTTTGATCGGGCCGGGCGCGGCGCTCAATGGTGGCCGCACCGTGGACATCGATGGCTTCTGCTGCTGGCCCGCATTGCCCTTCACATTGGCCACGATCATGCTGCGCTTCAGCGGCGAAATGGATGAGGAGCCGGAGCTGCCGCCAGATCCAGACGAGTTGCCGCTGCGCACCGAGGTGGGCGTGGCAAACTCATTAAACGCGCTGCCCTGAATACTGGCAATCTGCGGCGTTTTCTGTGGCACAGCGCCGCCCCCCGTGGGCGATGGCTGCTTCTGGCCGCCGGACGAGACGCTGCGCATCAACAGACTATTCCCGGGTGCAATGGCGGCGATATGGTTACTGCCCACGGGACTCTGCGAGTAGCGCGCACGTTGCGGCGGCGGCACCATAGTTTGCGATGCGGGCCCCATGCGTCGCTTGAGCAGCGCAGCCTCCAGCTGGGCGGCATTGGCAGCCGCGGCGGGGGAGGTGGAGGCGAGAGCCGTGCTGGGACCACCGGCACCGCAGACCGAGTAGCGCCTGCCCATTTGACGCACAAGAACGGGCTTGGAGGAGACTCCCGACGTGGCTGCAGTTGGCGTCATTTTGCTAAAAGCGCCCGGTGAATGGCTGAAAAGGGCCTCCAGGGGATCCACGATGGCGCGTGGTGTCTTCGGACTGCTGCCGGGCACAATAAAGGTGCCCATACGAGCTGGCCCGCTGGTCAGCGGGATTGTGTGCGAGCTGGAGTTGCTGTCAATGCTGTCCTTGCGCTGAGTTGTGCCCGTCAAAGCGGCCGACACATTGACTCCGGCCACGATCTTGGTGTGGTTGTTCATCTGGAGTATGCGATAGAGCTTCTTGTCGTCACCAATGGCAGTTGCTCCCTGCACGTGCGCTGGCCTGAAGATGCGCTGCACAACATTTGGAGGCTTGCTGGAAGCCACGCGCTGATTGGGCGTGGTCGCAGCTGGGAGGCAGCTGCTGGGCGACCGATCGTTGGTATGCTTGGCGGCGCTCACCATGCTGACCAGCTCCCGGATGAGACGCAGCTCGCCATCGCTGACGTGATCGAAGCCCGAGGGCGTGTTCATATTGAAGTGCTGGACCTCGCCGCTGTTGGGAAAGTCGGTGGCATCGTCGAAGGTCTCCATTAGGGCCTGGAAGATCTTCTGCTTGAAGTGCATCTTCTGGCGCGGATTCATTTCCTTCATCTGCGGCCGCACCATGTCCAGAAAGTGCTCATCCGAGAATATGTCCTGGCACTCCGTCTGATTGCCCCGCTCGCAGCGTTTGATCAGGGTTAGCACCGGCGGAGTTGTGCTCACAATTGGCGATGCGGTGATCGAGGCCGTCTGCGTTGAAAAGCTCGACCCGGCCGTGGAACTGGAAGTGCTCGTCATTGTGCTGTTGCTGCTCGCGGTGCAGTTGGTGGTGCTGATGACCAATGTGTTGCTCGTGGATACAAGGCGCTGCTGCTGCTGCTGAGGCTGAGGCTGCGATGTCGAAGTAACCGTCGGGGGCTGCTTGAAGCTATCCATGATGTTAACTGGCGCTGGAGCGCGCTGCCCGGCAAAGTTGCCTCTTAGTCCTGGCGGCGGAGCCAGTGGGCGTTTGTTCATAGCAGCCATTGCAGCGAGGCGTGCAGGACCCGGCGGACGACCTACACCATAATGATGACGCTGCACAGTTTGTGTTGGCTGTGCGGCTTGTGGATGTGGATGCTGCTGTTGCTGCTGCTGCTGCTGTTGTTGTTGCTGGCCAGGCACGGGACCTGGGCGTCGAGCCAGCACCAGCTGCTGTGCCGTCGGTGCTGTGGATCGAGGACGCGGAAAAATGTCATCCCGGCTGCTGGGCGGAGCTGGCTTTGGTGGCAGCTTGGGCGCCGCTTTCGCCTGTGCCTTCGCTTGTGCCGCGTTCGCCGGCAAACTGGCCCGGGGCACCGGTGTCATCTTGACCGGCGATGTGGAGCTGCGCAGGCTGTTGGCCGCAGCTATGGTCATGGATTTGCGGCGCTGCAACCGTGTCAGTCGCTGCTCGGCGGCTGCCTTTTGGATGGGCAGCTGCTTGATCCGATTGGCCGCACGACGCAGGCGCCGGCCACCGCCCACGCTGGCGGTCTCATCGGGACTGTCCTCGACCATTTGCTCGTAGAGCGGATCCGTGGCCGGCGAGACTGGTTGCTTCTTGCCAATGATCAGGCAATTCGATGAGGAGTTCGTGTTGCTTTGCTTGATGAAGAACTCCGGCTGTTTGGCTACGGCGCTGTTGCTGGTCCCGGCAAAACTGGCAACCGAGCCTACTGATGATGTTGTGGGCGTGGCAGTGCCCTCTGACAGCTCCTTGTCGTCGGGATGGGAGCTGCTGTCCTCGGGCTCGTCGTTTTCCTCCTCGCTGGCAACTTCGTCCGTTTTCGCGGCGTTCGATTTGTCTTTGTCCTGCTTCTCTTTTTGCTCTTCCTTCTCCTGCTTCTTTTCTTCCTTATCCTTTGGTTTATCTTTATCTGGTTTATTCGTATCGGGCTCCGTGGGCATCTTTGCAGAAGCTGCCTGTTTCAGTTTAGCCAGCGGCTGCTCCTCCACTGCTTCGTAAATATCCTTTTTCTTGCCTTTATATTCATCGAGCGTCGGCTCTTTGCTCTTGCTCTTGCTATCCCTATCCCTATCCCTATCCCGCTCTCGCTCTCGCTCTTCCTCGGGCGATTCCCTTTCGCGCTCACTGGTGTCGGACAGAGACAGATGCGGCTTCAAGAACTTAAGCTCTTCGGCCAAGTAGAAAGCCGGTCGCTTTAGCCCGTTGCGGTGACGATGCTCGTCCGAGGACGTCCAGCGGACGTAATCGTTGCGGATCTGACGCCAGCGGCGTTTGCACTTCTCCACTGTACGCGTGGGAAAGAGAGAGGCAGATATATGTAGCTACAGTGTGAGGTTGGCAGAGAGAACGGGTCACAGGTAATCGAAATAGTTGCCTGGTGGTCGTTGGGTGGGTTGGTCGGTGTAGCTGTTGTAGGTGTGGGTGTGGGTGGTTTATTTCGATACCTGAGCCTATTAGGCTGAAAATCCAGACAGATGTTCAGCACCGACAGGCTGCCTGGTAATCTGGCTGATATATTGACTCTAAGCCCGACTCAATAAGTGCCATAAATGTTAACACGTGTGCATTCAAATTGCTCAAGTTTCGACTTTCACAAAATCACATGCCATAAAAGTTTATAATTCTTTTGCTTTATGACTTACTATATGCTTTTCGTAATATGATCTTAACCCAAACTTAACTATAATATGTATCATAATTATATTCTGTAACTAATTAGATGAAAAAATATAACTGAAGATCGATAAACAAAAATGTTCTGCAGGACTTTAGAAATTTAATATCCTTTGCAAGCATTTAACAGATATTCTGTATTCAATATTCAATCGATTCTTTCGATCGGAGCTATTCGATAATGTTTCGCTAATAAAGCTTATATTTAAAAAAATGTATTCCGATAACAATAAAGCTAATATATAAAGAACAACACTGATAGGCATTCACAAGTTTTCCTTATAGGAATTTCGTTTACGATCCTCATTCGATCCTACGAAAGCTATTTGACGAGGTAGTTCTATGATGTTTATTTATCGCCAAAATATAAAAAATTATATATATTTCAAAAGAACAAAAGGAACTAGCGCTAACTTTCGACCGATAGCGTGTTTTCAAGAAGTCCGATCCGATGAACTTGGCCAGATTACCACGGAGAAAAAGAGGATCTTTCTAAAACTTGAACTTGATCAAGGCTTGCTTAGAAAAATACAGAGATACAATAGTATATGAACGGACAATTATGTGGTTTTCCCAAATCTATAATAAATTATTCATTTTTCGTAAATCTCAGCGAAATTTAAAGTTGATCTTAAGATTACGTATTACGTATTTTAAGCTAGAAAGTAGCAAGGTTGTTGTTTTGTCTGCCTCAAAAATGGAAATAATCGGTTTGATAAACTTAAAAATTTGCAACCTTAAACCGTATTTCAGGACTAAAATAAAATACCCGGCGTTGGCTGGCCAAGGTCACCTTCGCAGTGACGTAATTGGGACATGCGAATACGATTTTTTTTCATTATCTCTCGCGCGCATTTAACCTGTGTCAGCTCCTTGCTCTCTTGGGCATTGTAATGAACACTGTAAAACGACACGAAATTGTTTTCACAAACACTCGAACACGAATCAAATCTATCGAAATTACCTTGATTTACTTAACTGAGAACTTAACAAAATGGAAATAATTGCATTAAAAAAATAACTATTTAAAATCATTTAGATTTTTATATTAATCGCTTAAATTTTTTAGCACAACCGCTCGAACTGGTCGTGTCGAGAAACTTTCAGGAACTGTCTTGAAATACGAATTGCTAACAGTACAAGCAAAACAATTGACAGGATGTGGCTTTGATAAATTAGTCAAAGCCATCTTTTGAAGAGCAACGCAAAATTCAAATTTCGATTTTTTTTCGATTTCTTGAATAGAGATTAGCAAGCACAACGAATCGACCAAGATTGTCGAGCCGTGCTTGAGTTTTTGCAGTTCCTACGCACGGATATTATTATTTTTATATAGATATAAAATATTTTAATATTTACAGTTAAGCTAATTAAATATATATTAACTTTGAAATCGCATTATTTTAAACAAATATTTTAACTAACAAAAAGTTGAATACCTTTCTTGTCATCATAGAGGTTGAATTTTGAAGTCTAATTTGTCATAAAAATCGCTTAAGAAATTTATAAATTTTAAGATTGTTTTAACCTGTTGCTTGTTTCGTAAAAAGTATTTTGAATTTTGGGATGGTGACTTTAAAACTTAAGTCAAAATGTGACTTGGGAAACGATTTTTGGACTCGATCCCTTAAGGAGGTCCTGAGTAATCTACCTGTCAAAAATGTGGATGTCGATTGTCATCTAATATAATAATAATAATAATAATAATATAACTTGCCTCAAAAACGTTAAAAAAACTGAAATTGAACAAAGGCAATATGCTCTTTTCCTTTTCCATGAAAATTTTTTTTTAACTTAAGCTCATAAAACAATAAACATATCGATAACAAAATACACGCAGAAACTAATCTAAGAATACGCGAAAATGTGTATTTGTAACTATTGAGCTTTTAACCTTTTAATTAAGCTCAACAGTTTGAAAGTCTATATCGATCCTTCATTTTCTATTTTTAGATCTATTTTTATGCAACTCGATAAACACATGACGTTTTCATGTGAAAACTTACTCTTTTGCGTAGAAAATTTTGCTGTCAATTTAATGTAAAGTAAGAAAGTACAGTGTCGTTAAATTCTAAATTTTATAATAGAATTTTGGCATTATCTATAATCGATAATCTATAAATCGATTTAAGCTCCTTTGCTGTTTTGACCTTACTAAATTAGTAGTTATTTGGTTAAAGTTTAATTTACGATTAAATCTATTAATAAAATCATAAATTGTAAAAAAATGTATATAATATGTATTTACATACTCTTAACTTAAGCTACGAGGTGTCCTAATTTTATTTTTATACATTGTATATTGAATATATAACCAATGTAAATATAAAAACGTTAATAAGGCATTTCAAATTTAATTACTTAACGTTAATTTTAAAGTTCCAATTCGTTAATTCCAATTTGAATGCGCACGTGCAATTTGGCAATTAGCAACACTTTGAGTACTGCCAACTCACTTTTAACAGTCGCCACACAACACTTGGCTGTGGCGATACACGATAACGATAAACGCAAATGCGCACGCCTCACTTTTCAACACTACTTACCCGACTCTCCCACCTCTGAAGCAACCAAATCCCAGCAATTCTCTGATGGTAGTCTTTTTCTATAATGTTCATGACTTTGATCATACAGAATCGGTTGATTCTCTATTGCGCGGCACAGTTTTACATTTGATTTAAATGCAGACATGGCTTAACAACTAAACACACACACCAGCGAGCACTTTGAGTTGATTTTATATTTATTTTACTTCAATTCAAAACTGGCGAGAAACTTGTCCGACAGCAACACGCGTCGTACGTAAAACGAACTGACACAGCTGCGAAATTGACACACATACACACGCACAGGCATTCGTGTACATGCCGTCAGAGAGCGCGAGAGTGCCCAGAGAGACGAATGCGTTGGTGTTTGTGATTGTGATGCAAACTAAATTGGCAGGCCAAACTAGAGGGTTGCATTATTGTTGTCGCCGCCGATTTCTTTCGATAGCAATTTCCATCTGCAGCAGAGCTTTATTTGAAGCTCATTACAAGTATCTGCGGATATTATATGCAATTTAATGCTAAAATCTTAAGTATATACATTGAATTGGCAATTGAGACAAAAATACTGCAGCAGATAGAAATAAAACGAATATTTAAGAATATTGTTAGACTGTAAAATTACAGGGTGTCATTGAACAAAACAATTTCTACAGTATATGCAACCGATCAAACATCATTGCCAGCCGGTATTATTATTAACCGACTCGCTGTAGCAGCTGCTTTGGAGCTGGCAATGCTTCTACTCTCGCTCACTCTCTCTTTCTCTGGGAGAGCAGCTGTTAATGTGTGCGTGACCAGTAGCGTCGTGTTAGTTGCTTATATTTCAGGGGTTACTCGGCACAATATGTAGCAGGCCCCTCTCGTTGTTATTTATACTGTCGACGCCTATGTATCAATTGAGTTGTTTTTTTGCCGGCAAACAAGCTGTTTACGACAATAACAATACGTGCATATGTACATACATATTGTATATGATTCATTTTAAATGCTGGTAGACTTAGTTCTGTTAGCTTTTAGCAGTATAAAAGATATGAATTTAATAACTTATATACTCAACAAGTTATGGTTGAGCGCTGTAAAAATATTAACACATTGACGTTGGATTTTCTGTCGCATTTTCAATATTCTTATCAATGCCTTACAGCAACACCGTCAGTATATTGGTGAGAGAGCGAGCGCGAGAGTAACCGTTAACCCAAATAAATTGTAATAGTGTGCGAGCACGAAACTCAACAACAGCAATTTCACTGCGGCAGCAACAGCAGCGACGACAACAGCAACAGCAGCAGCAGTAGTAGCAGCAGCAGCAACAAAAGACCACCAAAAGCGACTGCAAATCTTAGCAAAACCAGTGGAAAAAGCAATAAACGGATATAACAAATTGCAGGTAGGTGAGTGTAGCTCAAGCTAGCACAAGCGCAGGCAAATTTCAATAAATGTAATTATTGCTGGCATCCCACAGAAAACGCGCCAAACAGCTGTTGCGCCCTGCAGGCAACAGAAATGTCCGAAGCATTTTCCGTGTGGACGTGCAGCAACTAGCATTCGTTTCTCTTGTCACCTGTGCGCAATGGTTTGTTTTGGCATGCGTGTGTAAATTGTGTCGATGTGTTTGTGCAGAGAGAGAGAGAGCGTAAGCGTCGCTGACAGTTTCTGTGGAAACGGACGCAACCAAGTTGCAGTTTTGCTTGGGACTGTGTTGCTGCGCAGTTGACGACTCGAATAATTTGTTGTTTTTGCTATTTTATAGTGCACGAGGCAACATCACCAACAGCAACAGCAGCAACATCAACAACAACAACAACAATGAACACTCGACGCAGCACCGGCAGCATCAAGACCAGCAAAAGAAGCATAAGCCGCTTGTATGTGGCGGCACTGACCACAAAGACGATAACACCGGAGCTGCACGCAATAAACGCGAAGATCTGCCGTTTGGTGGAGCAGCATCCCTGCATGTACGATCGCTCGCATCCGGCGTATATGCGCAAATCTCACGTGGAACAGGCATGGGAGGACATTTCCAAGGAGATGAATGATAGTGGTAAGTGCCGCGCATCACAGCAACATGCTCTATAGATTTTGAATTAATCGAATCCCAATCTACAGTTGATAATTGCAAGGAACGCTTTAGGAATATTCGCACCAGCTTTGCGCGGTCCATTAACGTGCAGCGCGGCTCGAATCGCGTCAAGCCCTACTATCTCAGCGAGGAACTTGAGTTTCTCAAAAAGCACATCACGCCCGGCGTGCCTGTGCCAGTGAAGGGCAGACGGTCACGTGACAGCAACAATCGCAGGTGCGATGATAACGACGAGTATGATGACAACGAGCATGATGATGAGGAGCATGTGGGTGCGCTGGTCCATATAAAACACTCGCTGAGCAGCGACGAGCATGAAAATGAGAACAGCACCGATAGCTCTGAGTGGGTGGCTGAGGAGCATGCGCAGAGTGTCGCCAGCCAAGCGCAGGATAAACCCGAGTCTGAGTTGCACCCACAGAGCGAGGAGGACGACCAGAAGCCGAAGGATTTGGTGCTGCCGAATGCCGTGCCCCAAACCTGCCCCTTTCCGCCCAAAAAACGTCGACGCACGGTCACCGAGGCGGCCAAACCGAGCGAAGTAAGCATGTGAATAAATTATACATTTTCCCACTCTACTACAATTGCCACCACCTAACCCTCTGTCCGCCCACAGCCGACCGAAGTCAGCGCAGACACAGAAGACACGCCCGCCGATATAAAGCCCCCAGTCATGGACTTTGATGATGCCTTTCTGCAGGGCCTGCGCCCCGAAATGAAGCACATGAACTTCCATCAGAAGCTCTTCTTTAAGCGACGCGTTTACGAGCTGCTCAGCGATATATTTGAGGGCGGCGAGAATGCCAGTAGTCAACCACGTACCAATGGACAGGCTGGAGCTACCAACTCGCCATTACCTCTGCAGCATTTGGGCCTTTTGGGCTGCTCAGGGACGCTGCAGCTGCCCAAGCTGGCGCCGAAACCCTCCAAAGATCTCTAAGTAGAAATAACATTGAATCGACTAATGCCCAAAGACGGCCGCAGCAGCAAACGGAGCTGTGTAATCCATTCGAATTTACGCTGTACAGTAATTTCACATACCCATTATTTTTGGGTATAGTTATAGTTATAAGACGTTACTATTTTTAAAATGTACTACATTAAATACATATTTACATAAACGATTGTATAATTTTAAATAAGAAACGGCATGACTCGTATGTTTAAATCAGGATACAAATAAATTGTGAGACTTCTATTGCAACAGTTCAATTGATTTTCGATACCCTAGAACATTACGGATCGGTAGCAATGGCCGATCCGATGTTCGTCTGACTATCTAAAGCAAACTAGTCCCTCATTCTTAAAGCTAACTTGGTATAGACTCGGACTATAGTTTCGGATAGTAGGTATAGAGTATGGAGTATGGTATGGAATGGTATGAATCGAAGCATTTTAGAAACTATCCGTGTACAACGCCTCTTTGTTTATTGCTTAAAATTGTTTTTTTTAATAGTCAACTATATATGATAGCTACGATATGTATGTCAGCTGCCCTAGCAACATTCTGTCTATAATTAAATTGAATTCTTGAATGGAAATTAATCAGAAATCAGGATCTAAAGTGAGCTAACTGTATATTAATTAACTACAGCTCGCCCGAATTTTTTCTAATTTGCTCAATGAAAATAGTAGCGTAAATTCGAATAATTACGAAAGATTTGGTTGCAAATATTACGGAATATATTTTCTTTCGAGAGTTTGAGCATACATATATTAATTTGTAGAGCGGGAGTTGGACAACAAACACTTTTGGCGAATCTTAAAGGGAAATATTAGCAGACTTTTTCTAAAATTTTGGAAATTTGTTTAAACAGTGGGAATTGGGGGGAGTATTTGCGGTGTGTCAAATTCCTAGTGTTTCAAGTTCCAAAAATGTTTAACATTCTTTTTGACACGGATATTCCAATTTCATTCTTTCTTCTGGACTGGCAAAAATAATTCCATAAAAACGGACGGAAGGAGGGACAGTGTAGAGAAACAATATACTCTTTAATAAAGTTAAAAGAGTATATTGGTTTTGTCTACCGACTGCACTTTGGTTCTTCTATTAGTGAAGAGCTGCAGGTAAACGTATATATATATATATTCCAAGGCGAGCCTCAGAAATTGGCGTATATTGACAGTCGGACGGACAATAAATACTTTGTGCACCGAGTACAACACCTGCAGCTTTCCAATCGGAAGTTAACAAATTGAGTTAATTTAAAAAATAGTCTAAATGAGCCTGCTCGGACTTCAAATTTGATCATTACAGCTGCCGAGATTCTGCCAAAATACCAGGCGAACAGGGGCTAATAGCCATTTATAGCAATTTATAGCCATTTATAGCCGTTTTTAGCGGTTTTTAGCAGAAATTTAGTAGTTAGTACTGCATACTTTCGTGCTGTCTACATAATACGTTGAAATTAAAATTAAAATTGAAATATCTCGGGTACCATATGGCCGATATCGGAATGATATACCTCTTTCTTCTCGTACGGATCCCGACTATCGATTGACACCAAACAATCTGAATTCTAAGAAATGGCCCAATTTGAGAAAAACTACTATTTTTTTTGCAAAAATTACGATGTTGGCTCAAAATGGCCGTGACAACGAGTCGAACGAGACCAATCTTTCCAAGATCGGGGCCGATTTGGCCGAGAACAGCGATTTAAAAAACGCGAAAAAATGCCGTTATAATTTTGAAGATTTTTCGTTTTTTTCCGATAATCCGGCTAAAAATGGTCCGATTTTGGAAAGTCATACCTTTTTGAACTCGCACTGATCTCTGGAATCGACTTGCATACCACGTTTTTTGATTTTGTTTGGAAATTTTGAAATTTGTGAAAAAAACAGGCAGACGAACAAAAATCAAAAATTTCATTGCATACCCAAACGGAGTGGTGGAGCAGCTGGTGGAGCAGCTGAAGTACCAGTACGAACGAAATCTGCTTTTTTGCTCCGCCTTCCCGTTGGTGTTACAGAAACTTTGTGGGCGTATTATCTATATCCTGTTGTATGTACACTTGTGTAAATTGGTGGGATTTTCTTCGCTCTTATTCTAATTAGTTCCTCACAGGCAACGCTCCGCAGGGATATTACATATGTCCGGGAGTTTCCTGCGCGATCAATTGACGCACCACAACAGCTACAAATTAGGGGTGCGTTTATTTAACCCTTATCAAGTATCACAGGAGCCCTGAAAAGCAGATTAGGCAAATTCAGATGGCTGCTCAACAGTATCTTTAAACGAGAAGGAAGGGCTATCTACGGCTAGCCGAAGATTTAATACCCTTGCAACAACACATAATGTTCATATCTAAGAAGCTAAAGGGTTCCATACAACAACTTAATTTTCGACCGAACGTTCCTATGGCAGCTATATGATATAGTGGTCCGATCCAGCTGGTTTTGACATATGAACTGCGTGCAGCAGAAAAGAGGGACTTCTTTCTGCAAAGTTTCATGAAGATAGCTTTAAAACTGAGAGACTAGTTCGCAGACAGACGGACAGACGGACATGGATATCGGCTCGGCTGTTGATACTGATCATGAATATATATACTTTATGGGTTCGGAGATGTCTGCGTTACACATTTCACGACAAAATTATAATACCCTCTGCAAGGCAAAGTAAACATAATATACAAAACCTCCTACCTGGCGATATATTCAAGTTTACGGTTTACGGTATCGCGCCTTACGAAAATCAGGGTGTTTCAAGCAAAAACGCTCCGCTATCTGTCTGGTGCCCCCTGGTATATGCGAACTTCTGATTTGGAAAGAGACCTCTAGGAGTGCCCAAAGTCGGGGACGTCATAAACAGTCAGACTGCAAACTACATAACGCGACTGGGAAACCATCCAAATCGACTGGCTAGGCGCCTTCTAAAGAGGCGTCGAATTGGAGGAGTCCGAACGCGGAGGAGATTGCGGAGGTCTCCCAGATCGATATACATATATATATGTATAGTCACGTATCCTTGTTAATTTTATATTAGACTTAATAGTAGACTAAATAGTATTGTAAATTTTCTAATAAATTTAATTTAAGTTGTTCTTAAATAACAGGAAAATGCTAAGAAATTTAAAAAAAAAGAAAAAGAAAAAACAATTTCTTTCTATTAGTTTCTTTTGAGGCAAGCTGATTTTAAATTAATTTAACAAGATTTAACTGGCAACTTTTAACTGTAAGCACGGGCTTATATGTTGTTATAATTTAAAGCCATAGTTAAAAAGTCAAGTTTAAATATTGTCTAATTTGCATAATATGTTATATTTTATATATATATATATATTTTTTTTAGCAAATACTTTTGTAAATGTAAACATTGATTTTATAGTTGTTTAAATAATAAAATAATTATTTATATATCGTTCCCGCATAAATTATGGCATAAAATATATAAAATATTATTGTTATAATTTGATTGTGTATTTTTTTTACTTTTATTTCTTGTGTGGTGTGCAATTAGAAATCGTGTGTATACCAATATATAAGAAAATACCACTGCTAAAAAAATGTCCATTTCGTTGCATCGATTTCAAGAATTAAATACGTAAATTAGTTAAGATAGTTATGTACATTCATCGATATATAACGTATATGTTTGTATATATATAATAATAATAAAATAATAATAATAATAGGGCGGTGGTAAATGCAACACCCCACGCAAATTAGAAAGTTTATATCAATTGCACTTTAAATTATTTAAATATATATATATGATTACGATTACCTGTATATAGATCGTTCTCTAAATGCAGAAACAAAACGTCGCAACTTGTTTTTTTATATCTTTTTGCTTATATCTAAGAAATTGTGGCGCGTTCTATATCATTCTTTATCTTATTAGCTTATCAACTTTAGGCCAAAGATATTTTGACGGGACCCAGCGGCAGCTGTTTCATATAGTTCCAGGCATCGACACGGGTCATTCGCGCCGTGGATGCACCATTGATGCTGAGGATCTCATCGCCATTGCGCACCTGATTGGTCTTCTGGGCAGCACCACCTAGGAGAGAGAAAAGGGGAGTTTAGTAGGAGCCACCAGGTAAATGCCAGTCAACTGACCCATGAAAACCTTCTTGACAATCAGCGGGCGATTGCCCAGCGGCGAGTCAAAGCCACCCTCTATGGAGAAGCCCAGTCCACAGCTGTCTTTGACAATTTCTACGCAGCGTGCGCCGCCGCCGGCAGCAGCATCCTCAGCTGCAGGAGGAAAAGGCAATTAGTGATAATATTCGACTTACTGTGGCGCGGACTTACCTTGCGCGCGAATCTCAGCTGCTATGGCATGACGAGCCTCTGCTGCGCGCTCTAGCAGCTCACTGGTGCTCAGCTTGGCCGCATCGCCGCGTGAGAGCTGGCGGCGTGCTCGAATGGTGGCAATGGTGGCCTCCGCATCGTTGCCGTTCGCCTCGTCCAGCAGGCTGGCCGGCTGCTGGGGGCTGCTGGTGCCCGTGCTGGGCGTGCTCGGTGTGCTGGGCACTGTGGCGCTGCCGCCGCCCTCATTGGACACAATGTCCAGATCCAGGTCGAGCGAGCGTGAGGCCTTGTGGTAGTTGCGCTTGCGTTCGTAATCCAACTCGGTGGGCTTCTCATTCAGCGAACTGAGCGAGCCAAGCGAGGAGCGTTTCTTGTTCAGCGGCTTGATGACCAACGATTCGGAGCGAGTAACCACTAGGACAACCTCTGGTCGTGGTGTCTATAAAGAAGGATGGAGAGAGTGTTGATTAGGCTGATATATGGAATAGTTTAATGGGAACTCACCTTTAGTACGCTGATCGACTCGCGATGGGTCAGGCCGCGCATGCTCATGCCGTTGACGGCCAGAATGCGATCGCCCTTCTTCAGGCGACCGTCCTTGGCAGCCGGAGTGTTGCTTAGTATCTTGTGGATCTATGGATGAGGACAGAATTATAAGCTGTTACATGCGATAGATATAGATATTTATGACGTACGGTTATCTCCTTAGCCTCGTAGTCGGAGCCACCGGCCAGAGTGATGCCAATGCTGCTCTCCGGCGTATCCCGCTGCAGCACTATGATAAATGCCTCCGGCGTCTTGAGCGGCGGATCGGCCTCCTCGACAATCTGCTGCACGTCTTGTGCGGTAATCAAGCTCTGATTGCTGCCCAGCGATGAGAAGCTGCCAAATTCAGTGGCCGTCTCCTGTGTGGTGCTCACATTCTGTGTCGTGGAGCTGACGCCCGAC